TCAACAGTCAGCCAAAGTACAAATCTTTTCGATCAACGAAACAAAGTAAAGGATAAAGAGTGACGCTCTCGGCGTTGATTAAACCCTGAGGCACGGGCCATGCAATCGACTTCATTAAGTATCGTTGGACGTGACTGAATGCATATCTGGCCTTTACAATGTCTCGCGGTGGCCTACCGATGTATCGAGCCAGTGCTGTTATCCTCTCAGACAAGTCTGGTACCAATTTGCCGACTCCGGAGAAAGGGAAGGCTTGGTGGACCATGGCGCCGGGATCGATTCCACGTGTGTGTTGCAGAGCACCTCCGATCACTGCGCCATACGCGCCCATCTTTGCAAAACAAGAACAAAATATCTTTACAAAAATAATGCAAGCGAGTTTTTGACAGAAACTGCTTAGCTACGACTAAATCTCGACTGCTGCGGATATGTTGAGCGGTTAGTATGAGAATGTTTAAAATCAATATTGCCGTTGGCCGCACTAGGACTGATCTGATTACATTTTTCAGCACTGTGTTAATACTCAGAATGCTAACCGTTTCGATAGGTTTTTCATAAAACCTACCACGCAATTATTTAAAGCGCAGAATTCAGAGACGAAAAGACAACAACGAAAAAGAGTTTCATTAAATGTAATGAGAATTTATTACCTTGGAACAAACACCGATAAAATGATACGAAAGTAAACGAGGTGATGGAGAACACCTTTTAGGATGTTGTACACGGCACTACTATTTCGACTGCTCCTCAACTCAACACAAAGAAGAAAAAATTCCAGACGGAAAATCACATCACCAAATATTGAGATGCGAGCAAAACTCGGAACCTCAGGTGGGCCCAAAAACGTGATTACCATTCGCTGGGGCTCTCGTATTATTCACTTCACCAACCGAGGCCTGCTGCGCTGATTTGGCATATACTTTCTGTATTTGCTAGGCGTATTCATGCATGCGTCTGTGGGTGCGTTTTCGCTTATGCGGATTGTATTCTACTAGTTAATTCGGCCAAAAGCCTGCAGTCAAGTGACAGGGAAGTAAATGGAAGTCGCTAAGGAGTCGCGTCCAACAAATAACCTCCATGAGATTTTTGGTACTCTTCCTCATAATCGCCATCCGAATCTGGGCTAAACGTAAAATCTACAGCTTTGAAATCATTGTCAATACCTCAAATGTTGAAGAACCACACACATTACAAGCTCCTCGTTTCCAACAGTATAATGTGTACCAAAAGTTCTTATCTGGTTCTCAGATGAAATTCGCCTTCTATTTCTGAAGTAATACAGATGATACAGAGAACATCGTTTATGAAGTAATTGTGGAGACCGTCACTTTTGTACAACTGCAGTTTGGTCCTTTCCACATTTCGAAGAAATCGTTGATATCTCAACAAACCTTAATTTATAATTCGTTTGAATAGGACGCCACATGAACACAGAAGTTCTTAAGCTAGGTATTGAAAACGAACATATCAAAAATTGCTGTAGCTATGTCGAGTTCAACGCATGGCGCTACATCTGCACAAAACTCGTCCAGCGTTGATGACTGCCACTGTTTTCAGATGAACAGATTCGGGCTGGAACACACAAATTCTGATAAAAACAAGATCGATAAAAGTAATGGATAAAGGGATGAACTATTTGGACACCAACACCAAATCATGGTCGCTTTGGCTAAAATATTCGTACAGCATACGTGAGCTTATTAGCCAATTTTTTGGAATTGTGAAGAAATTCATACAATATCTTACATTTCATGATTGACTATATCTTGTTTGTCACCATGTGGCTATGTGAGGAGACGTGTAGCGTAGTGGTTAGACCTGTCCTAAGATTAACATGCGTCCATTGGTTCAATCTAGCGCTCCAACGTCACTAAGCTTTCCATTCCCTCGGAGTCGGCAATTTGTTAGCAACCATATCTAGGAGAATGACAGCACTGACTTGATACACCGATAGACCACCGAAAGCAAATGTTTAGGTCAGATACCCCTAAGGTGTTTAGTAAAAACGAAGACACGGTGAATCCTTCGGGACTGATCAACACCGAGAAATTTATCCTTTGTTCATGTGAATTCGTAGCGAAGATAAACACTGGAAAAAATAACTCTATTAAATGTGAAGATAATCAGAAGCTATATTTTTAAACTTTCAAAGCTCTCGCTTCTGGATTACGACACTACATTTAACATGATGCACTTTTCTTTTCTTTTAAAGAAAATTTCTTAGCAATTCGAATTGACAGTGATGGGGTCCTTCCTGGAGGCGGCCCGTTTTTCTTCAACGAGTAAATTTACTACGAGTACACATAAATGAGAGTAAATGAGGTTTACCATAATCTTGAAGTATTGATTCAATGTAGACGGCAATAAAAATAACACACACTTAGAATTACAACACTTCCGTAATATTATCTCTTTCTTTGCACTTACCGTTTACTACGAGAAGTGCCATTCGTTTTGACGTAGTCTTTTTCATAGCAGGTTTTCTAAGGCTATTTTCGTGTTTCCCAATATGACGACGTTCTATATTACGATGAAGTAATCTTTCCGGTGGCATATAAGAAAACTGATTGTACGGGTTATAGGGAACTGAAAAAATTCTTTCATGGGCTAATAATACTTTTCGTGGCTACTAAATAAATTATGCTTACGAAATATAGTCTCGAAATCATGAAAAATGCCTGCGACCGCTTCATAGATTCTGACATTAATAATAATGAGGACAAAATTAAATCGAGACCAATTATTACATCTATCTCATGCCACAGAAACGCGCACGATGCTTAACCCAATGGGTTATAGTTGGTTTCCATGACCTCTAACAGCTAGTGCAACTCCTTAACTACAATGCTGGTGAATACACCAACAAGACTAATTTAAAATAGCTGGCCATTCATGAACCCACCTCTTAACGGCCTGAATCTAATTTTCCTATCTGCGAAGGCCACTTTTGCTAAAGAAATAGTCATTCTAAGAAGTGTTCTTATTCACTGGAGGTGGTGTTTGTTGACTTCGGCGATTCCATCAAATGTATCACCTGAAGCCCCGCTGATCGTCGAGTGACTCGAACGGGGGCCAGTAAATCTTTCACTTTTCCCTGTCGCGGGCAAAAGTTCCCAGTGGGTTCTGCTCGCTCTAGAGACTCGTCGAGCATAGCTTCCATTGGCCGTGAAATTTTGGCAGCTTCTCATTACTCGTCCTACCTCACGCTGCGAAATTGGGGGCTCCTTCGAGGTTAGAGGAATGAGGCCCGTTCTTTTTACTGCTTAGCATTTTTGGTTCCCACGTATAGCTTGCTGGCCTCTGAACATGGGGGCTGGGTATACTCACGGCTAGCCTACCAGGATCTCCCAGAGTGGATATGGAGCTTATTTGTTGTAGGCGACTCCTAATCCCCTCCCATATACTTCCCAGTCACTTGATTGCAGGCTTTTGGCCGAGTAGACTCGTAGAATACAATCCGCATAAGCAAGGACGCACCCACACACGCATGCATGAATACGTCTAGCAAATACAGAAAGCATGTGCGAAATCAGCGGTGCAGAAACAGGGAGTCTATCCTTTGGATCCACCTATGTCTCAGGGACGATTTCATACTAAACAATTTGCTGTTTGAATTGCATTGTCGTGCCGTGAACGTATTAGAAAACAAAAAAGTAGCATAATTACAGGTCATTTTCCAGTACTCAAAATCGAAGATTGATTCTTTTCATAGAGTTTTATACCTATGAATGAGTAAATTTCAGCGAATAGCAAGACTGCACATGGTCAGATGAGAGGATTGGATAAAACGTGGTTGATGTTGCTAAGGATCGAAACATATAATATCCTATGCGCATTCTATTACACGTCACATATGGTAACCTAGGCAGAAGGTAGGATATTCAAAGAATCACCTCAGATGTTTTGTCAAGCACGAAATATCCAATTTTGTGCAAAAATTTAAAAATAGAACTTTTCTGTAAAACTTAGCGATATCGTTCAAAACAGTAAGTATTACAATAAATTCAGTTTTGCCAGTACATTACAAGAATAGACATCCCTCCTCGATTAAGTCTTTGATTTTCGCTGCTGGCCGATATTGCCAATAAAGAATTCTTGACTGCTCTTTATTTGTTGCATGATTTCCATCATTTGCTTAGAAGTTGTTTAGGCAGTTAAGAACTGCTACGTCGTTGATGGTGCAAAAGAATAAGACAGCGTTTTGTAGGGTATCTCGTTCAGCTCCTGGACAAGAACTTATGAATGACGATGAGCGACGATGTCCAGCGGAGCACGTTTTTTGTTCGATCCTCGTCAACCATAATCGCTTTATGTTTTAGTCTTGTTTTATCCACAGCATCCAAAACTTATTATAGCATGGTTCTGATGGATAAACAACTTTATCGGAACGCCAAAAGTAAAGTAGTTATGTTTTAATGTGCTTCATGGTGAATTCAGAAAATGAATCGTTTCCCGGCAGGATATTATGCGAAATCAAGCACAACGATGGTGAGATATTCACAAAACGTGTACTACGGCCCAGACCGAACCACAATTTCTCCTTCTTGGGGCTCGTGCCTTACACAGTGCGCCACTGATGCCCTTGGTCTGCTTTTCTCTCAGCTAGTTTTCTATCTCCTAGTGCCATCAACAATCAAGTGTCAACGGGATTGATCTGGAGACCACATATCGGCATTTCGTTTTTTCCATGAGCCGTTTCTGTCCCATAAAAGTACACTGACTGAATAGATTTTGCAACGACGATTTCTATGTTTCTCGTTGAATTCGTACTGTTCATTTTCGACATTTTTTCCAGGTTTTTCCAACGATTCTATTGGTACGTTCCAGAACATGAATAGCCATGATTGCATGCTAACGAGTTTCCACAAATGCTTATATTTTCGTCTGTATCTTATTTGAGTGCTTTTGACGATCTTTAGAATTACTTAACATCGATTTTCAAAATGATTTTAAACGAAATTTGATAATTTTTGAATTTTTTAATGCCGAGTTCAAATTGGTCAAGCATAAGCATTAACACTATCAGGGTAATCTGGTAAAAGTCGACGCCTTTCCGGGTCCTTCAATTCCTTCAACTGTTTCCGATACGATAGTGAAACACAAGAAAGGACAACTATGGCAATGACGAATACGGCAATAAGTAGAATCATCGATGCTGAAAGAATAAGAAAATTCTGATTTAAGAAAAAGCGTAGTTGAAAAAACATTTGGTGAAGTCATTGATGTTGTCAGTGATGGTACCTGTTAGGATGTCAAATGTCTCCATCTGCGGACCAATACCTCGACACTTCAATTCCCAATCAACTCTGTTCAATCGTTGATCCTTTGAATTTACATAATTACTTGATGTAAAATTTTGCAAGGTTTTTTCTGTTTCTTCTAATTATCATCATAATCAAAAACGGAAGCAGTTAAAGAGTTGCTGAGGTAAAGCTTCTTGAGTTTTTAATAAAAAAAGCTATTAATGGAGGGGAATGCTCAGTATAAGGTATCCCGCTATAAGATAAACATCCTGAGATATTCGACTTTTGGTTTCACAGTTCAATAAAGTACGAGTGTTAAAAGACTGACGAAAGCTTAATTTCTGACGAGTGGGTAATGCATCCCACTCCACACGTCATCGTAGAGGTGATTGAAATTGATATTTGTTCTGTATGTGGCTTTGAAGCAACCTACGGATGTAGGTAATTCCATGTTGCTGTCAACCCGGATATGAATCGCACCGTTTTTCCCAGCGCAAATAGATGAAGGACTTAGTTCCCAGATGAACTAACATTAAACGACTGACCATGTGTTTTTTGGGCACCTTAGACCACTGTGTTTCACTAGCCTCTGCTAGTGGAAATCATAAATCGCGTTCTACGTTGAAGTAACCAGAGGTGCAAAACGCCTTCAAAACCATTGTCTCAGACGGCTTTCAATTATTGTTCCCTTATTTGTATGTTAAACTAATCTTGAGCATACGTGAACGGCCTCAGAAATTTGATACCTAGTTAAACGGGTGCAAAAAGTGTAGTGGTTTCAGACCCAACATTGTGCCAGCGTGATCATTGTTTTGATCACGGGTTTCGTCCAAACAAAGCCCTCCCAACTTCTGACTTCCATAAATGCTGATAGACTCGTCTGGGTGAATAAAAGCACCGACTCCCGACTTCATGGATCATTGGGGTCTGCCAGGTTTTTTCATAAGGCAAAAATGCGCTTTATCCCTTCTGCATATGAGGCCGGATAGGCAGAGACTATCCCTAAAGAACTGCACAACGCCTTAAGCTCTGTCCTTCATATCGCTTAGTTTTTTAGGTAAAAAACGGCTGACTGAAAAATTTGTACAGAAAAGGGTTTTAGTCATACCGTGAGGATATTTTGCAAGGTTTTTAAATAACATGGCTTTCCACATGCCGGAATTGTTAACTGTTCCAACTGCCCATCATTCAACGATGATGAAAACCAAATCTACAAAAAAAACTTATTCTACTCAGTCATCATATCATGAGTTTTAGACCATAAAACTACAGTTAAAAAAATTCCACTTACTGTGAAGTCGAATGCAAGAAAGAAAATGTTTATAAGTCTAAAATCCTGTTTAGTGCACGGATTTCTTGTTACTTGCTGCGCTTTAATGGAATCCGTTGAGAAGTAATTCAACCTTAGAAGATAAAATCTGCAGTGATCTTTTTTAAATTTAAATTTTGAAAGAACCTCACATGCTGGTAGTTTCTCTAAAGGCAGTGAAGATAAAGGGACCCGCAAGAAAACTATGACATTGTTCATCTTTTTGGAATGAGAGAGAAGTTTCGTTGAGTAAACTTGGAAAGTACTAGAGAAATTTAGTAAACTTGAAAGACCTCAACAAAATATGTGCCATTGACTAGGTGAAGTTCAACGACGAGTAGACTCGCATATGGTACCATTTCATTGGCTAGTGGAGTAATATTCAATTGTCGTCCAATAGCCAAAAAGTTCGTGTCATGCTGAAAAATTACTTAGGTTAGAAAAACCTTGAATAATTTTAAGAGAAAACTAAATCACCACTTTGAAAGACTTTTCCGTATTAAATTTTAATAGAATTGAGCTACTATTAACTAAATCATCAGTAGAAAATCACCGTACCCCTGAAATAAGCACTGCCTTACTTCTCGTGCTGTTCTGTCGAGCGACGTGGTCTTCTATGTAAGACATAAGGAGTTCCGCGTGATACTCTAGAAAAAAATATAAGCGGAATGAAAACAATAGACCTGATCGGTAGAAGAATCCATTCCTTTGCATTTCAATATTTCAAATGCATTGGACATGGATTTGGATAATACATGGATTTGTTGAAGTTTCCCTACTTCCAGCCGTATTCCGCTGGGCATCAGCCAGTTGTTGATGAAGGTTCGTGTTTAACTCTGTGACGTTGTCACGAATTGGTTCGGCCCATTTCGGAAATGGGAGTCGTGAATCGTTCATGTTCAGCTGAAATAAAAGTGTCATGCTTGGTGGAAGAAGCAGCTGAGAATTTTATACGACGATTCAGAACGGTAAAAAATTCTAGCATTTTACAGCTTAATAAATTGTTGATCATTGTCGAAATATCGTCATCCAGCAATAAGTTCACATTAAAATCTTCTAGGCGTAGTCTAGAACAAATCTAAATACTCAAGCTTGTGTAGGAAATTTTTACTATGGCAACCCAGAAACACAGGTTCGTTAGCATGTGTGGACCGAGTTTCTTACGACTCAGTCATTTTCGTTTTCGTCATAGAACGCAAGTCTGAAGGCTTCGTGAAGAACAATAGTACAAAAGGATATCGGTAAATTTTCGTCGACTTCTGATTAGAGCTAATTTTTCCGGTAATATATTGATTAGCAATACCGTATACCATTGAATTACTATTAAAACCACGCACATTAGCAATAACCGACACTTGTACGTTGACTCATGAGGATTTGAGAGAATGAAATACAATGGGTAATTGACCTTGAATTGATTGAATTGTAATGCAGTGTCTCGTATTGATTCCAGAAAACCCGCACTTTAAAGCGAAATACAGCTAGCTGAGAAATAAGCGAAGCGAAGGACCAGCATGGTGTGGTGGTGAACGCGTTAGCCCCCGAAAAGGGTAATAGCGTGTTCGTTCCCCACCGCATATACCTGCGGTCCGGAGTTTTTCAAATATCTCAGCACCGTTGTGGTTGTATTTCGCATAATACCCTGCCTTAAAAATTATAGTAGGCGGAAAATAAAGAGTAAAACATCCTTTTTGGTGCTTAAAATCTAGTCGATAAAATTCTGGCTCTTCAAAGCATTGTACTTCCTTCATTTGCGAGACATCGACGTAAAAATCGTCCAAACAAGCTTTGCTTCCCTGTTTGGAAATGTAAAGAAACCGGAGAAGAATGGAAAGATTTTCAACTGTAGTGGGTTACCTATTATAGCCTCCATCGATACTTATTTCCCTTTGCGATGATTCGCAATAATACAATGAGTAATGAAATAACAATCACCTTTGTTACCAGTGTGTCCATGACGAGATTCAATTCAAGTGGCGAATTTATAGCAACACCGGTGTTGCGTTCCAGAAAATCAATCAATGACGGATCGAAAGTGTTTAGAATGTTTTGATATTCAGGCAGTTCAAACAATTTGGATTTATAAGTTGTGCACACGCGATCGATTGTTACATCAACCTGTTAATAATTATAATTATTTTCGAATAATATACCTTAAAAATATACTGACATATTTCTACTGCGTTTAAAAACAACTGTATTTCTTTTTAAAAGTGGTCAAAATATCGACACTATCGGTTAGAGTCGTTAGTTCAGTGCCGTGTTTCATCGACTGGGTTTCTATGATTATTGGTTCGTCTGCCATCATTGATTAGTGGAAGAACTAAAATAAAACCACATACTGATGCAGATAAGCCGTAAACACTGAAAGAACGTGTGTATCCTACATTCGGTGAGTTCGAAATATTACTTGATACTTGGACGTCTCTTCTTCACTGGTTGTGCGGGCCCCAGGACAGTCTCCATTTTCTAAAGTTTTGGTTGTTTAGCTATTGTGTTTCCCTGGAGTCCCGAGGTCAGTTTAGTCAAAGTCTCCCTCTGGTCATCACCACCACACGCAGTTGCAGACTTTGTGGATCTGAGAGAGATTTGCCACCATGCAACTAATTTAGTAGCAGGACGGTGACAGATCCTAGTATTGTTTGCTCTTAGCTAGGCTTCCTGTTAGAAAAGCCGGTCTCCTTTTCAGGTTGCGTGACCTTGCGGGAAGGGATGAACCCCCGCTGTACATCGCAGTCCGACATCCAGGAACACCTCTCGGTCACAATGAAGAGGTTAGGCGTTTGGGGAAAAAATTTTCCCAATTAATTCCTGTTTATGCGGAAACATCGAAAAAGGTGGTTTCCGTTATTTTTTGTGCTAATTTACTGATTTAGAAACAAGAACAAACCCAATCAGTGGTTGGATCAATGTGTACAGCAACCGGTTGCCAATCCAATGTGTTCGACCATCTATGAGCATTATCCGGCTTATAGAGAGCGGCTAGTAGTGCTTGAGCAGAAGCGACACTGCGATTGTTCTCACCACTCCATACGTGAATCTTGATCAGCTTTTTTACCATTTTAAACAACAGTATTGCTCTTTTGAATCTCACAAGGGTTATATTATACACTAACTTTCAACCTGCAGCAATACCTAGTAAACTTTTTTCCTTTTACAGTTTTACTCCCTATTTCGTGGCCCATTAGTATTCTAATTCTGCGGTATTATGAATCACTAGATCAGCTGATAATTGAATAGTCCACTTCTGTTAATTCCTCGTCATAGTATAAGGAAGTGGAAATTTTCTCCATTCAAAAAGGCTTCCTTGATATTTTGGCTCAAAATTTATTTGACTAGGTACACTGTATTTTTTATGTTACTGTACTAGTCGCGCAGATTCAATGTTACTGAATTTGTCGTCGAACGGTGGAGAACAAACCATTTTTGTTAATAAGTTCTAGGGGCGCTTTTAACCCCCTTCACTACATCCAGACATGAAATCTCTTCATGTGCCAAGCGAGTAGCGCTAAAATCGAACTCTCCACTACAGTTTAATATTTAGCTCTGCGTATAGTTATCGTTCTTTATCTTTTAGTTTATTTATTGCCTACCTGTGATGGAAGATACACATCACCGAGAAAATCCGCATAATTGTTCCTTATAAATTCACCACGTTCGTAGGCTTGCTGAATTCCTCTCTGAAAAGGAATGAGTCTTATGATTCATTCAATATATTCACAATTTAAGATTGTTATTGGATAAATTAAGTGTTCAATAAAAAGTACGGAATTATATTTCGCACAATTTTTTAAAAATCGTTCTGAAATTTTACATTAGTGAGTTCAGCAGGTTCTGCTTCAGTGTACCTTACAGGAGGTGATTCGTTTGGGAAATAGACATACTGAGTAGGAGTTCGTTCACCATGTCGAATCCACTAAAATATTGTTGACAAACAGAAAAGAACAGAAACAAACAAGCATTTTATCATGGGTCTCCTTCCTATCAATCTTCTCCTCCAAGAAGTTTTGTTTAAAATTGCATGTTTAGAGCACGAAACCAATGAAAAACTCAGATCTAAGGAATAAACATGGACAAAAAACCTACATCTAAGAAGATAAAAGTATCGATTAAAAGATTTGCGTTTAGGAGCCTCAATGTCAGAAATTGCAAGCTACATAGTAAATCAATGAAGCATTGACAGGCTGGTAAGATTTGAAACAGAAAGCTTGACACTAGTTTTCCTAAGGTATACGATATTTCAATAAATTCAAATCGATCCAAATTCACTCACAAATTCAGCAAATTGTAAAGTCGACAACGATTTTTGGGCGAGAACAGTATGCAGCATACTCAGACATATCAGCAAATCGAGGAATATCATTATTTTTCCTTTTTTTCTTTTTCTTCTGCAATAAGAAAGAATTAGGTATTCGAAGAAAAGCAGATCAATACGGAATAAGTGGGCAGTTCGCTTGATGACTCCCATAAGTCCATTCGTTATCAAAGCAATGGGTCAGCAGTACATCGAATTGAGTCACTAGACGACAACATGCCAGAAATTACAAGTGGTGTCGAAATCACACGAATTTTTGTGAAACAGAAGACGAAAAGGTCGCGAGCTATATACAGCATCGTAAAAACGTTAGAAGTAACGAATATATGTGCAGTGTTATCCCTCAGTTGTCGTACACTTCAAAAATCTACGGATAATCCTAGGAGGGCACAAGCAGAATGCACAGTTCTTTCAAAACCTGCTTTGATTTAACCACAACATGAATTTCCACTGTTTTGATTTATCAGTAAGCTTACACTGGTTTGTCATAAAATTTTATTATTTTTAACGTTTCGGCCGCATCACCTTTTCCAGAGACACAGTGACTCATGCTGAGCTGTAACAAAAATTGATTCTAACCATGTGGGTTTTGGTAGTTGTATCCAGTCGAGTCCAGTGGAGTAGAGCACCATGCGGCTAAGGTGCTCTCTGCCAATAGTGCACTACTACTTATTACGGTTTTTATCTGGTGTCACCCATTGTAATCATTTTTCAAAGTGACGAATTTCTTCCTAGTTGTGGAGCACTTCTTACAATGGCTCAGAAAAAGGAAATGACATTAGAAAAATCATTTGTTGGAATAAAACCTTATAGTAGCTTTGTGCAAGCCTGTCAATAAAGCGAAATAGAAAACACAGAGCTGTGTCGAAAATAAGACGTTTAAAGGTGGTCGCGCTTCTGGTACGTGGGCGAATGAGATGCCAGGTGCAGCGCTTTCCGTTGAATACCGATAACCCAAGGTATTTCTGCACAAACGAAGACTAATTTTAAATTGAGAGTATAATTGGCGTTCCATCTATGCAACCAAAAAGCTTGTGCTTACTGAACATGAATGAAAAACTTCACTGATGGAAGATTATGCCATCTACTAGTAGTATATACTAGCGAGCTCCTTTCCGTTAGTAGAATAATGTGGTACGTGTTGGTCAGCCTGGTTGACACGTGCGACGTCGGTGAGGCATGGATTTTCCAGTTGCTTTGTGTTATTGGTTTTTCTACGCTCTGTGTTTTTTTTTTCAAATAAAGGACTGGTGGCAATGGTCTTGCGGAGAAAGTTGACAGCATTTCTGTCCTTCACATTGTTATCCATGTTTTATGTAGTTGGTCAGTAAAGTTTACGGCCATGCTGCTACAAAACCCGTAAGCAGGATATCCCGGGTGTACACAATTTTATCATTCCTCACAAAAAAGGGAAAACGAGACCACACACTCTCCATCTGTCATCTCCATCATGTCCAGGTAAAATGTTATACGCAGTTCAATAGTTCTGTCTTTACTCTACAAGCGTATTTTCGTTTCGTTTTCAAGTGGAAAATGAAGAAAAAGAGCAGTGGGTTAGAGTGAATTTAGTACTATATTCGTGGGATTCCAATTCAATGTAACGATAAAGAAGAGACCATCTTTCCACAAAAGCTTTTCCATTCCTTGTCATCCAACTTTATAGGCATTTTAATCAACTCAGTGCTTAATCAAAGGTGTTTTCTATAGCTATCTTGTTAAGTGCATTGATTCGTTTTGATTGGCACCGTCATGATTACTTTAGTTTTGAACGCAGTTGGATTTTGTACAGGATCGTCTTGTGTTGTAGTTCCCAAGGGTTGACAAGTATTGCCTTAGCGAGTAGTTTGAGGAGTGGACGATTATACGACTTTCCTTTCCTTCTTATTGTGGAGTGATTAATAAGTTATTTGAACGCTTTCGTTGATGAACAATTCAGTTTCATTGCCATAATGAACGGGATAGCCATTGGTTTTGTTAGATGTTCAATCAATGGGTGGATCGTGAGTGGTAACCAGTATGAGCACGTGTTTTTGTCGTCCAATTTGATATACTAAAATCAATTCTTGTTACATGTTATCATACCATTGTTTGCAACACCTCTTTTTAGTTTCCTTCCAGTTCCATGTTTTGGTGGCTTCTTTTATTATGGCCAACGGAGTTTCCCAATCATGACACTCTTTGCTTGATCAGCAAGTTGCTTTTGTACTAAATACCCATGAAAGCACATTTATCTCTGCTAGACAACTCGTCCGTCTGCTTTATCAGTATAGATTCATCTGTGATTAAGACTCTTCAGACGTCCTTTCCGGTGTGTGCTTCTGAAATGTTCGCATAGCCATTCTTGTGAACATAATTTCCAAAACTATTTGATGTCGTAACAGTTTTGTTTGTTCGAAATGTCATATATTGGGAGCCTCCGTCACGTAAAACTTTTCTAGTTATCAAAACTTGTTCTAGGAAAAAATCTTCGCTTTATGGTCAGCTGAAAGACCGTCAGGAACGTTGACGTCATCCTACGTGGCACTTTCCTAGAAACGCAAAGACGTTGGTCACAATGTGTCAAAAGGTGATGAATGATCAAATGATGCCGCCGTTGCTATGAGTTCGTTACGAAGATTTTACAAGATTCTGGACAATATCCATGACCTTAACGGTATCTGTAGAGCAAAGCGGACGTTGGGAGTGATAAGAGAGTATGATAATCAAACACATCGAGCTTCATGTCAATAACTCGATGAACGAGGAGAAGGCGAACAAGCCAAGTAGCACATTATATAGGGTTCCATAAGGCTTTTAATTATTTTATTTAATTGTTAGATTTCGTAATGCCTGCAGCGCTTTCGTTGTAGCCATAACAAAACCACACAAAGAACAACTAATCCCTGTGTAATCGCTGTTCTTCTTTGACACCAATATCGAGGCTTACACGAGTAACGTCCAAATTTCTAAATAATGTCAGGTGTTCATAAAATTTTCTGGAGAACCTCTCGACATGTCCGGACTGTCTTCCACTTTTGTCATTTCTTTTATCGACATTATACCACAGCAATATTCTATAGCTAACTTGTCTGTAGTTTTATAGAAACCGATTTTGCTCCATAATGTAGTAAAGGATAAAGGATAAAGCTTTCGGCGTTGATCAATCCTTGAGGAATACGCCATGCATTCGACTTCATTAAGCATCGTTAGAAGGTGATTGAATGCATTTCTGGCCCTTACAATGACTTGTGGTGGCCTACCGTCCCATCGGGCCAGTGCTGCTATCCTTCCAGACAAGTCTGGTACCAATTTGCCTACCCCAGAAAGGTGGAATGCTTGGTGGGCCGTGAGCGAGGGGATCTATTTCACGTGTGTGTTGCACGCGCCCTTTAAAATAGTGCAGTACAACTATACAATCGTTTAATTGGATTTTTTTTGCATTACGTGCTTTTTATTGCTGCTTTAACAACAAAAACAACTGCTGCTTGCAATGATTAGATTGTTTATGTGCAATTGATTACATGGACGCATACATATGCCATTTGTCATTCGTATAAGCACTTTTCTTGTTACAAAATCTGTTCAATGATCATTCAATAACTCAATGAAATGTAACAATACACTAACTGCAATAATAACTAGCCGTCAGAATATCAATCGACTTCCAAATTCTTTTTAAGTTTTTACATTTGCAACGTTAGATACTTAGATAGTGTGTGATGTTTAGTCAACTCTCAAATGATGTGCAGGTGAGCCTCAGCACATCTTCCGTAGAGGTGGTCGAGTTCACTTCTTGGAAGTCCGTGTGAGAACAGTTAGTGCTAACTATGCCTTGATGAACGGTCACCTATTCTCCTCGTTGAGATGCTGAATTACAGTCGAGCCTTATTCTCCATAATCCGGAATATGCCGTTTAGCCAGGTCGTCGCCACCGGTAATCACCGCTGGCCCTTCTGCATCGTGACGAGATTTGTAGGCTGGCGGCTGTGATTCTCTCGGAACAGCAGTAGTTCCTGTGACTAGCCCAATGACCATAAATCGAGAAGGCGATGTAAGAGCTCGAATCTTGCAATTTTCTTTGAATAGTTTTTGGACCAGAAGAACAACGAAAGGAACTCCTTTATAAAACGAGATATTTCACACAAAAAAATCTAGTAGAAACCGAAACAGACGTAGTACAAGAAATGGATTCTTCTGTGATGATGAGATACAGCTTTGCAAAACGAGGTATGTCATAGAGTGTGGTTTTGAGGTGATTTCCATAACACGACATGCAGCACGAATCGGGATAGCGATGACGAGTGGTAGAGAAATGAAACATGTGTATACATAATATATTGTATGTGTGTAAAAAAAATATTACATTATCATGAAGAAAAACGTTCACGTATTTCGGACTGAAATCGTTAAGAGGACTTTGGTAGACGGTCATAATTACAATGCAAATGAGGATAAATGTACGTATTATTGAATACAACAAAAAAGAAAAAAGACGAGGAACACTAGATAGTACTACTCTACGCTTTTATCAACTACAAATCGAAAATTAGTTAAGTTTTGAGGTTCAGTATTTTGTTACGCGATAAAATAGAAAGAACACTAAAGGTCTGAATTCGGCTCCGACGATACAACCCTGAGTTTTAGTAAACCGTACAGACACACACGCATATGAAATAAATCATAATGAAGGAGGTAGAGCAGATGAACTAGACAAGTACTCTCGGACTGTATGACCAATGGCGATGATACAACAAAAAGATTACAAAAAAACCGATAATGAAAATAATAATAATAAAATTAACACTAAATAATCGCTAGTATGTGGCTAGTCAATACTAATCGAGACAAATGAACTGGCTGTGGTGCGCGAGGACGACGCTGAACAAAGTGTGATAAGACAAAAATAAAAAAATTGGCTTGAGTGGAAAAAAAATGAGGAAAGGCTAGCACGCACCACAACCAGCACAACTAACCATAGTAATTCATGACCATATGCATTCTTATAATGAGCCAGTTAACAGCCCGCGAATCCCTGATGTATCGAGGAACGTAACTCGATGAGGAAACAAGAAATAAAAGTGATACTTTAGGATGCATCATTCTTATTGATAATGGCAAAAATTCCGCAAAGCCCGCGTCGGGTGGAAACGAATCTAGTGACCAATGACAACAACAACAATATAACGTTGGTGAGGCGACAGACACTAAAACAATTTACGAATGGACGGCGTCTAGTGGAAGTCTGTATTTACAACGGTATGAACCGATACGGTTCAGGTGAGAACAATTATTACTAGCGAACGACGTGTACATGAGAGTGAAGGAAGAACGACGAACGGCTACCAGATATTTTCCAATAACCTACGTGACGAGCAAGAATGCGTGATTTGTGTGGCGCCCCACATGACGATTCCTGTCTAAGATGAACTAAGAACGCGTTCCAAGTTCCCAATAATCTACTCATGCGAGGCTTGTAGCAGATGAAGGTTGAAATTGAGCGAATCCGGTGCGATATGTCCGCATCTGTTGCACTTGAAGACATGCTCGTAACCATGATATCCCATGTGAATATGATAAAGAGCTTGATCCTGAAAAAGGAAATAAAAATAACGTGGAATTGATCATGGTATAGTGTCCCAATCTTTTTTCCACGTGTTCCATTTAGGAGAAGAAGCTCTAGAGAGGTTGTACTGGAAAAAGACATGTTAATTATTTTGAAATTTAAACACACCTGAAAGGCCATGCGACAGTGATGGCATTGGAATCGCCACGAAGCTTCCTCTCTTCTCAAATTTAAGGCATTTAGTTGAGCGAGATATGCCTGCTGAAAGATGTTCAGATTTCCTTCCGAAGAAAACGGTGCAAACGGTTGCGCTATAGATTTCATGACGGTCGTAGAAGCCGTAGAAGAGGAAAGCTCTGGAGCCGGAGAAACGGACAAATCAACGCGTCGCTGTAACGTGATGCGATAATTGATATCTCACTGAAAAATTAGCGTAACTACCCTAGGTATAAACTATATTTACCTCCTCTCTTTCTTTTCCGTCACTGTCGTCACTTTCAGTTGGACTTTTTCCTTGAAGGCGTTGACTAATTTGATCCAGTTTAAATGCTTTCACTTTTCTACCTGGTTGCTCCGTTTCATCTCCAGAACCTCAAGCGATATTTAATAGATAACTCACAACAGACATAACTCAAACCAAAAGTACATACCTTTAGAGCTGCAGTGAGGACTCACAGCACTGCCGGTACTGCCTTCCATTTCGTCATCACCAACATGTCCACTGTCGCGTTCCTCTTGTGTATCGCTAGTAACGGGTTTGTCAGTGATAGCTTCGATAGATTGAGCAAACGAATTAATCTGAAAACGCATTTCGAAGTGTTACTACTTAACCTATGTTAATTAGGAGCTTACTTGTGGTAGTGACTGGTAGAGACTAACAATAGGACTCTGAGTAGATTGGCTGAGAAAATGGTTAACATTATGTCTCATCATCTCTTCTTGAGACGTCGTTTGGAAGTCACACACGGCACACGACAGCGACTGTGGTAGCGTCGGAAGGCTACTGATAAGTGAGCTCATCTGTTCCATCTGAAAAGTATAACTAATGACTTTTCTCTCGGAGATTTTTATTCAAAACTACTTCGTTGCACCTGATGTTGTCTAAGCAGCATCTGGCTCGCATAGTTCAGACTCTGACTGGTGACTATTGGTGTGAGTCCGAGAGTTTGCGCCAAGGTTGTAGCCGGTGATGGTGAATCAAGTTTAATATTTAGTCCAAAACTTGGGTACGACGCAAGCGCTTCTTGTTTGACTTGAGTCGGTGATGTGTCACCGATCTCCATACCATCCGGCACACGACGATGATCGTATTTTTTCAAATGCAGCTGAAATCAATCATGAGAAACTAACCTTTCTCATACTGATAAAATGTCATGTCTTTACCTTGAGACTATGACAGTACTTTGTCGCATAAGTGCAGTCCATGCAACGAAATTGATAGACGTTTGTATGACTTTTCATATGAGAGTTGAGCATCGATTTATTCACACACGTGTAGCTACACTTTTTACATTGGAATGGCTTGCTACCGATGTGATTCCGAATGTGATATTCCTGTAATACATTATGAAATCAAACATCCTCATATAGCTTATTGTTTCTCACTATGCTTTTCCATTGTGTTTATTGTACTTCTGACGTGTAACATTGTCTTTCTCCTTCTCTATCTCACTTCCTCCCTCCTTTCTTCTTCTCTCTCTCTTCATGTGACTTTCGATCTCAGACCGTCATGCCACATTTTCGAATTGCATTAAAAACACCATAAACTAGTAAAGCAATGAATTTCATATTCACCTATGAACTTCACGTACGCTAATGAAATAGTGATTACGTTCGCTCAATAACATCTACACAGTAGTGTTTAAATTGAATATTCTTTTTGTGAGATGAAAATACTAGTACAAAATTTCATATCAAAACAAACCAGGTGGTGTTTGTATTCTGTGACAAAATTACATGTAGGGCAATTCATTTGCTTGTCAACTGGTATATGAGTGCGAGCATGTGCCCACTGATCGTCCTTCGAGAATGAAATATGTGGACATTGTTTGCATTTGTACTGCTTCATCTTGCCGTTACTATTTCGTCGCGGTTCCGAATTGTTGAACTGCAAATGCAGTTGGATGAGAAAAGTAATGAAAGAACGAAGGCAACAACAACAATCAATTATTACAACAATAATAAGAGTGGTAATAATAATCGGATACTATTGCTATAGTTATCTACAAGCTGAAGTCAACGTCGCGAGTGATCCAGGAGGTCTAACTACCAGTACCACACAGTGTTTCTTTTGTGATATTTCCTTTTGTGGTAATAACCTTAACATCAGCTATGACGCACCAATGGTGTTAACTATCAATGTCAACTCTCACATATAACCTTACTGATTAGTATTATGATGAATCGAGGAGGAACCAGAAGAATCACCATTTGGCCTATGGCCTACAGAAGTGGGCTATTTAGTGGGCTCAACCGGCTGAACAGACAAGAAAACGGTGATTTATCTTAAAGTACTCTTTATTTTTTACCGTTTTTGAAGATAGTGTACCTCAAAAGGGCGCGTGTGGAGCAGTGGTTGGAAACGACACTGCGACACGCACGTAGAATCGATCCCTGTGCCCATGGCCCACCAAGAATTCCATCACTCCGGGGTTGGCAATTTGGCACCAAACTTGTCTGGGAGGATAACAGCACTGGTTCGATACATCGGAAGGCAACCGCAAGTCAATCACCTCCAACTTAATGAAGTCGAATGCATGGCGCATCCCTCAGGGATTGATCAACGCCAAGAGTTTTATCCTTTTTATCCTTTTAGTGTACACCAACAGTTGGCTTGATTAGCCTTCTGCGGGAGTTGTGTGCACTCATGTGAAGTACGTCGTAGTTTCTCGTAATTCACGTGAGGAGTATTTCTTTGCGTGCAATTCGGAACCACTTCACATGTAATTCACACTGATTTCGTTGCAAATTTTCAACCGAGCAGGTGTATATAGAAATAATAAGCTGATCTGGCATAGCAAGAACAATGAACCCATTTCTCGCTTGTAATCTGTACTACCTAATACTCCAATGAAAAACACGCCACGTAGCATAGCAATAACCGGTCTTATCCCTCACATAGAATTGAATCTCGTTCAGATATAAGATGACGAATACTAGCAAGAACACTAATAATATTGGCACTAATGCTAACTTTTATGATGCTGAGATATTTGCAAAACTCCGGACCGCAGGTGTCTGCGGTGGGGAACAAACGCGCTATTGGCCTTTCCGGGTAGTAACGCGTTTACCACCACACCATGCGAGTCCTTCGTTTCGCCTATCTCTCAGCTAGTTTTATCGATCTTTTGCCATCAGCAATCACCCGCCAACAGGATTGATCTGGGGAGCCCAAATCGGCAACGAACCCAGTTAAGCTGAGGCTGCAGTTATAATCACAATTTTAACTTATTGTTTACTGCCCATTCTTTTTTTAGAGTAGGCAGTAAATAATAGTAAAATAGTAACTAGGAAGTAAATAATAAGTTAAAACTAATGCTAACATTAATAATTATATCATTGTTAATGGCCACATTAATGCACATGAAAATGGTAAATAATTGGGGGTGGCAGCAATAGCATTAATAACAATGTTTTAATGTAATAATGTATGGCGTGATAATCACCTTCGCGGATGATTTGTCGAAATCATCAAGAACCTCTTGCGACATTGCTCCAAAGGCATTTACTAACGTGGTACCGGAATCTGGAAGGAGAGCCGAATTCTCAGCGAAAGCACGAATCTGATCCAAAGCTGATGGGAGTGCTGTTGAGGCGATAGTGCTTAGAAAACTGCTCGTATTTACAAGACTCTCCATGGACAACGCTGACACCGACGCACTTCGCTGCTGAAATTGAGTAGATTTTTGATGGCTAATAAGCAGCATAACGTTTACAAACCTCTTGCTTTGCGCCCACAGCCGCTGCTGCCATGTTTGCAACGTCAACTAAGGAAGCCATAGTCGTTGACAAGTTCGAAATCTCGGCTAGTGATGATCCTTGTGAAGTCGTCGTCACCAACGAAGCCGTCCCACTTGACGCAGGCACTGGTGTCCCTGGCTTAACATCTAATCCAACGGCTAGTTGCTCCTCGACCGTGTGTGATTCACGCATGTGTTTTTTTAGCCTTAACATAAAAACACAAAGTTCATTATTGACCAAGATAAAGAAATCGCACGAAAAATGCGCACCTTCCTTCGGTGCGACTAGTGTAATCACACATACTGCACTGATGATCACCATGAGTGTTCATATGACTGTTATAGTGAAATTTCGAGTTACATGAAAACCCGCAAATTGGACAAACAAGCGCAGCGCTTTGGCCCGTGGCGGGAGTGCAAAACGCTGCAGGACCTAATCCGGGTGGGCGGCAGAAGGATGCTGAAATATCTTTCGTCAAAAACAAGTGCGAGAGTTGGCCGACGGCCGGCCCGACTGCAATGGGCTGCTAATGATGACGAAGAGTGCGAACACACTCGTGGTCGTCAACTCACGGTTGTTTTCCGTATTCGGAACCACTAAAGCATGGTGTTGCTGGTGCGCTTGATTGTCTGAGGTGGTGCTGGAAAAAACGTTACTGCCGCTTCCACTGATTCCTGTTATGGCCGTTTTACTGATCTTGGAAACATTTGGGTCGTTGCTGACTTTATCACGATCCGTCGCTGATGGAGGGCTTTGACTCTGTGACTGGTCGTTGGCTGACGTAAAAGAGTGTTGCGAGAAGTTTAACAGAAGCCGTCTGAAAATCGTGCCACAACTAATTCTGCATTTCATGGCAAACATTTTGTCTCATTGCAAACCTAACATCCTTGTCGGCTTACTGCTTTCAATCTATTTATTGCTTTTCTTTTCTAAACAAGCGCTAGCTAAACAGCAAGGCAAAGAAATGCTTAAACTCACGAAGCTTCATCCTCTTTGTGTGATGTCGAAGTTCTGATTTGGCTGACATCATTATTATCCGGATTTCCTTTACAAGTCTCTGAAATTAAAAACAACACTGCTTTAGAAGGCGAAAAAATGTGAAGAAAAACAGTTTATAAATTCAGTAAATTGCACATACATAATTTTCAAATGGAGGAAAACGGGGAAGCTTAAAAGTTGAAAAGGTTGTGACAGGCGACAAAAAGCAACGAGCTGAATACCACAAACATGCGAAAAATAACACGGAATTTTATTTACAGGCTTAATGAAATGGCATCCCTCACGTTTTTACAAAATATAGGAGACAACAGAACAAAAAACACGTTGGGAAAAACAAATTTTTAGCAGAAACATAAAGAAGTCCTACCACGACTGGTGTTACATTGCATGCTGGCTTTTCCAGTCTTCGATTTAACGATTTCGACGCTCTCAGAATTACGATCATCTGTGCCTTCCACGTCGAGACGACGTTCATCGTCGTCGCCGCTCAACGACGGTGACGCCGAGGCGTCGTATGACGCTGAATGATGCTCTGCGGATTTGCACTCTTCCTCAAATAGAAACACCTTAGACAGCAGCAATTCTTTATGGTAACCAGAAACCAGCACCTCTTTGATGTTATGAATGTCATGTTGATCCATTGGCTCACATGGCTGTTCGTCAGACGTATTTTCAGTGGAATGTGTTGCAGGAAGTGCAGCCTGTCCACCGGGCACCACTGGAGGGCCAAAATGGGGTGAGGGCAATTGCGGCCGTGGTCTTACCAATTCGCCATTCGGGGCCTCCAGTGAGTTCCACTTTTTCCATTCATTTATTTTATTATTATTCGCTGTCCAATCTCCTGCAGATGGCTGTTGCCAGGTGGATCTGCAGAAATACCGCTTAGACATTCAAACATGTTCATCTCAGCAATTTAATTTAATTAATCATGCTGCTATCGAGATTAATATTACCGAAATAGAGGTTGAGGTTGCGAAGATGTGAAACCGGCAAATGGGATTCGCCAAGCGCCTTGTTGCATGGCGTGAAATGCGGCCGGCACACCCTCTTGCGGTCGAGGAACCTGAAAAATAACGTTGAGTCTTGAAAAAATAAATCACTGGATATCGGGTGCTAGCTGATACAAATGGCATGGAAAATTATGCAATAGTTATATGATGTGGACAGTTTCATGCACGAATGACAAATGACTCACAACGAATTGATCGTTGGTTCTATCACAGCTGATGAGGGAGGGGTTAAGAAGAGCAGCTTGAATGGTGAACGGAAAAAAATGTGTCTGGGGCGTTTATGAGCCCGTCCGCGGAATGCAATAACCAAAAGTACACCTTCTGTTTTATGCTATTCAGCCGACAAAAAAGTGCAATCCGTGATAAAAACTGGGAGGCATACACACACGGCCTGTTTTCATCGCAAAGTCTCCAAAAAATGTACTAAGAGTACAATAGTCGAGCGAAATTGCGTGTGTATGCGGTGTATGTGTTTGTGAGTATGTGTGGATGTATATGCGTGTAATTCCCGTCTGCTCTGGTGTCGTCTGTCGTATGTGCACGTATATATATATATATATATATATATATATATAT